AAGACACTTCTGTCTGAACTATTGGTATGCAGCGTGTTCTTGAATGCAAATGGGCATGGCTAGTGCCTGTTCCAGCCAATTTAAATACTTTGTAATCTGGCACCATAGTCGTTCGCATGACTGACTCCTGTCTGGCTGCGACTGCTTTGTGGTTTCTTTTTATTTCCGGCGCTGTAACAATAATGCGTGGCGACATAAGCGCAGCGTTGATCGGAAGGGTGCGGTCACCTGCGCGCCCTTATATCAGAAGGGTGCACTGTTTTCTCGAAATCGTTACATCAGTTTCCCCAAATTGAGGCGTAGTGGTCAGTCTTATGAGCAAACGAGATGCTATCAGATTCTTTTACAGCGAGATCACAACTCGGGTCACACACGCAGTTGCCCGCCGCCGCCGCCGGTGTCCGTAACTACATCGCGCGAAATGAGAAAAAAAAAACCTAGCACCAAAGACACAGTGGGGCTTGAACCCGGATCCGCTGGTTGCCTGTCTAGTATTCTACCACTGAGCTACGCTTTTTTTCTTTCTTTATTGCCTGTGTACATACAACATTCACAAACTTATATACATCAAACAAAGCAGAAACATGAAACAAAAAAGAGGTAAAAAGCATCATATTTAACAGGCTTTTTAAAATTCCTTCATCTGTAGAAGGCTTTCTACTTGATGAAGCCATTCGGGCACCTCTTGTTGAACCTTTTGTGATTCCACGAACGAACAGACAGATTGAAAGAAATATTGCCTAACCGGACGTGCATTAACATCAGCATGGCGCACCGCCATTCTAGATTGCCATATACCGTTCAGGCGCAGTAACATAACTAGGTCGAAAGGTATTCCTTCTTCATTTGATACTGGTAGAAATCTGATGCCGTAGGCATCGAGAGGCAGATCCTTTTTCAAAGTCCTTTGGAGAACATCCCAGAAAAAGACTGCATCCCAGCAGTCCAGGAAAACATGTTCAATTGTGTCCGGCTTTTTACAGAGAAGGCAATCAACACCCCAAGGAACGAATAAGCCTTTTTCTTGCATCCATTTTTTCACAGTATCACCTGGAGTGAAATCCTTTTCCTTTTAGTTGCACACTGGGACCACTGAGCTACGCTGCTGCTTGTGACTTGTTGGCAAACTTGCCTTCGGCTGTCTTGATGAAGCAATGGTGTTAATGGGACTTATAAAGCATTTTAAAACAGCGAACGAACAACCAGTTGTCGCACAATGCTAAAGGCGTAACGAGTGAGCCGTCTAACGCTCCAACCCATTGCAAAAGCTTGTTCTTCTTTCCCTATTAACTGGGGCGCATACCCACTTCAGCCACAATTCCCCGTCGTCGTCAGCCAATGCATGAACAATTGGCACGAAATTTCTCGCAAGTGTTTAGCGGAGACCACGCTTCTCAGAAGAAAGACGAAAAATAGCATAGCCAATTCCGGCCTACTACCCAAAAGTTCATTACCGCAAGCACACTTCTTTGATACCCACAAGGGCATTAATAGTTACCCAATCAGTGTTATGAAAAGGCTCTGAAAGCCCGCTATTCCAGCTTTTGCTGTGACTATGCTGCGCCTTCCGTGCAGGCCTGGTGCTTTTTTTTCTTGCATTTACTCTTAGCGTGTACCCATGTGAATTATCAAAGACAGGGAGTTTTTTTTTCTTTTTTTTGATGATCGATAGGCATGTTTCCCCGAGAACCACGACTTGACATCACAGCGGCTGTTATGATGCGACAATCAGTTGCCTAGCGATTCGACGTCAGATATCGCCACATCTTATCGATGACTTCAGGAGAATGAGGGGAAGTGATCAATGGCTGTCACTCTTTTAAGAACAAACAGGGCTCGTCCTGTTTATTTCTTTAAAAAAGTCTCGCAGCTTTCCTGCAAAGGCAAAATCAATGAAAACGATAGCAAGAAATTGAAAGGTCACTCGAAGAACGGCAAGCAGATCGAAATGTGCCCCGTGATCTCACGCACAAATGACGCACGAAACGTTCTCGCAGGTACTGATACGCATAAACGTCTAAGTTGTTACTTCGCTGTGTCTCATAAGCGCGCCCTTTTCGCAGACGGAGATTGTGCAACGAGTGCGGTGACCTTTGTGCGCCCGGCAACTACAGCAGCATTGTTCCGGTGAAAGCCCAAGGCGTGCGATAAGCGGGGCAGGCGCGAGCGTACCCTCTTGGGGGGCAAAGTACGCGTGGGAGATGAGAGTGCGCGCCGCCGCGTCGAAACGATCTGGCGACGCGCGCTCATTGCGCCTTCTCGCTGTTTATGCTGAAAGCACGATAGTAGTTCCCCCAACATGCTCATCGTCAACGGGAAGTGGTAGACATATTAGCTTGCTGTTTCAGTGTTGAAGGAGGTGCTCCTTGGTGGCTCAGTGGCGAATGCCTCGCACTCTGAATCCAGAGGTCGGAGGTTTTATTGCACGCACGGGAGTTCTTTTCTGAATTAATTTTCTTTCTTGCGCTCTCGTATATACAGATACGTATTCATATACGGTGAATGACGGCGACGCCAACCCCCATCGCAGGTGGGAAAATCCAGCCGAGAGGGTCCCTATAATTGCTATCGCAATAAAAAGCTAATGAACCCAACACATTATAAAACTTGGAGGACACTTTAGCTTGGCGATCAAGGGTAGAACGTGGTAACGTAATCGGACCACGTGCACATTATGGTCTCAACTGCAAAGCTATAGCTTCATATCTCGGTGCATGCATCAAGCGTGCCAAAGGAAACCAACCACCACGTGATTCATCAGAAATTTCAATACTGTCTTAGAATGCCTACTACAAGTACGGCTGCTATAGGTGCCCACTTCGCAATAATTCTTCTTTTTGCGAATCAGCCAAGCTTCCATAAGGCAACATGCCAGCATACCTAGCTGCTCCATTCGTTGATGTTTTTACAGCTGAGGATAATTGAATATATCATAGGGCTTTGTAATGACCGGGCCTTTAAAACACCCACTCGCTTCAAATCACATATTTGGACGCTTGGCGCCATTGTATACGCTTCTGGCACGCATTACGTGGAGCGTTAAGAAGACTCTTTCCACTACATGACATTCGTATAATGTTTTCTTTTCTTCTTTTAGTAGCATTTTCAAGCAGCACAGAGGCTTGGAATTTCAACACTTGCTCGCTGCGCAGATGGCCTCGGTTCGATGCTCGCATGAATTTAACGGGTTTATTAAGCGTGAAGCATTTATTAGTGAACTACGAGCACTTTGAGCCTATCTATATATCTATCTATCTCTCTGTCTGTCCTTCTATCTATCTATCTATCTATCTATCTATCTATCTATCTATCTATCTATCTATCTATCTATCTATCTATCTATCTATCTATCTATCTATCTATCTATCTATCTATCTATCTATCTATCTATCTATCTATCTACGGGGTCGCTAGGTAATGATTGTGCAGTGCAAGAAGTAGGTTTTTTTTATAATATATAAATAACTCGCTAGCAAATGATCTCTATGACAACGTTGCAACGCGAGAGGGGGAGAAAAGGAGATAGAGGGGACAGACACCACAGGACCGAGGGACACCGCCTCCGGCATTGGATGCTCCGCATCTGTTGCAGGGCCAAAGTGTTGACGTCGCGCAGTACGCCGGCCCCGCCCATTTAGCGTCCACCCAATTGCCACCGCTGCGCCCGGAATCGAACTCGCGCCGTTCCGGTGAGCAGCCGAGAACCTTAGCCGCTGATCCACCACGGCGGACGTGACGTTAACCCCGAAGAGTATACCGCATTGCCTGGGATCACAAATATCGCTGAATTGGATAAACTTTTATTTGGTCCTCCAAAGCACAGATCACTGTGTTGTTGCGGGCAGCTCCCACGTGGGGACTGGGATGCCAAGCTCCTCAGCCGCCTCGCGGGCTTGGTTATTATTATTATTATTATTATTATTATTATTATTATTATTATTATTATTATTATTATTATTATTATTATTATTATTATTATTATTATTGGATGTTACTGTCCCATAACCACCAACCACCATTCATTATGATAGACGCCGTATCTACATAAAAAATTCTCCAAAAATTTCGACCACCTGAGCTTTTGAGTTAACTAAGAAAGGCGGAGGAGAGAAGGCTAACATGTGATTCCCTGTTGTTACATTGAAATCGTGATACAAATGACGTCGTGACGTTCCAGCTTAAACGCTGAGGGAATATCAAAAACTGTTCGAAGGTCCCTGTGAAAACAGTTTTTCCTAAGAAATGCGTGCTCCGTGCGAGGTTAAGAACGGTGAAGGGGGATTCGACGTGATTTGCAGAACTGGTTGATTCTAGCTATATCGGCATGAACTTTAATTAATGAAGAAAATGGCCGACACAAGCGTTTAGTCAAGATACCACAGAAATTACACTGTCAAGACAGCTTACGTGTGCAGTAATCAAGTATAAAAACATGACATTTTTTTAAGTTAACGCCTGATATGATCAATCGCTCCTAATAACCTCGTCATGTCGCTCTAAATCTGACTGCTAACGGTAACGTCAGGTTTGAAATATGTCTCAAGTAAAAATGACGCCGAACATCAGCAACTGTTGATGCTGGAAACAAATGTGCGCGCATTTCTTTATCTTTAATGTCGGCCTTTCATATATCGCAAGTATACTATAGGGGGTGTTCTCGTGACGTCATTGTGCAAAATGTTGATATATATTTCAGAGCTTTACTGTTGGAAATAAGTATATCAAGATCAGCAAGCAATGTGTTTAACTGCGCTGGTCACGAAATGGTGGCCGCAATTACGTCAGTGCACGCTTCTTACAGGCGGACTTACAGGCATTCGCGCGTTCAAGGTTTCCCGTCAAACGACTCTCCGACTATCTATCTACAGATAACTAAGGCTAAATCACGTGATTCGTGCGCTACGCCCCCTTCGCTTTATGACGTCACGGCTGCACCTCTTCGAGAGTGCGTTCGCCGCAGGCGCGCCTGACGATGCGCCAGTATTTCTCGCGACCGTTGAGCACACCCATTGGACACTCCAGCTAGGGGCAGCCGCTTGCTTGCACGTAAAATGGCTGTGAATGCGAGTGAGGTCACCGTGCGACTGACTATGCACGAACAGGTGCCTCAGTTGGTCGAGAAACTCGATGCCCAAAACCCTTGCGTCGTCAGCGAACTGGTCCTCAGAAACTGCGTCTTCTGTGAACCGGCAGAGCTTTGTGCGCAAATCAGACGATGCGCGAGACTTCGTCGCCTGAGCTGCGTCGCCTGTGCGCTCCTGCCCAGCAGCCTGGTTAGGTTGATGCTGGAAGGACTGCTCCCGTACCTGCAGCAGCTCGAGTTGTCGCTCGTCCAGGACTCCGACGTGGTCATCGACTCTGAGCTCGAGCATTATGCGCGCGATAGCGCCGCAAGATGTGCGACGTCATCCCGTACCACAGCCTCCGACGGCTGTACGTCGAGGTCGGCGGGCCCCGCAACTTCGAGCTCCTCAGACAGCTTCTGGTCTTCTGTCCGAACCTGACGGAACTCCACGTTCATTTCGTGCAGGGAACCTTCGTGAACGCTCTGGCGCAGTGCAAGTGCCTTCACGATCAACTCGAACAGCTGGAAACGTTCACGTTCACCTCGGAAGTGCCGCCCTACGTTCCGTTTCGGCACGCGCCGGACGAATCGCCGACGTTCACGAACTGCGCGGCCGTCTGCGCCAACGTTCGCCACGACAGAGTGCACGACTGGTGGAGCTGCGTCGAATTGAAGCAGCTCGTACTCGGCCGGGATCGACCGCTCATTCTTCCGTCACAGCTGGCCGCGTTTGTCTCCAGCGACTCGATGCCAGGGAAGTCCGAGTGGGAGGTGAGCCAGCGGCACAGTTGGGCTCGTGTGCGTGAACTCTGCCTTCTACTCTTACCGGGGCAACCCGCTTCGGTGTATCCGAGGGCGCTAGGCAGCAACCGCGACTACCTGCAATCGATGTTCCTCGCACTGGACAGCATCACCGAGCTGAACGTCAGTTCGTTCCACTTTCACCTCGGCGTCGACCTGACGGGGCTTTTCCAGGGTACCCCTCTGGGCAGCCGCCTTCTGGCGCTCTCCCTGCCGCCCTGTTGGTTTCCGAGGCAGTCCTCTGTGCGGACGCTGCTATCGTCTTGCCCCAAACTGAGGGACCTGGACGTGCGCTTCGTAAGCCGAGGCTCCTGGACCTGCGCTTCCTGCCACGGGCTCCTCAACATGAGAGTGTCCGTGCAGGAACCACCCAGTGCGGCCACGTCTTCGTGCACCAGCGTCACCAGGCTCGCCCTGTGTGACGTGCCGTATCCGGTATTACTCTCGTACTTCCGCTACTGCGGAGCTGTCACAACGCTTCGACTTGCCGAGTGGCGCTGTGCCGAGGGTCTGCACTTCGGCCATTTGTTCGGGCTTCTTGAGAAGTTCGAAGCTGTACGTTGCCTCGTACTCCAGCGTGGAGACTTGCCGATCGACGATCAGAGTTTGCAGGTGAGTCCCCACACTCCGAAGAGTGGCAGTTCTTGACGCATTTCTTATTTGCCGACAATGGCTTAATTTGTGCTTTGTTGCCTTTCTTTGTAACTCCCATGTCATAAAGGTTGCGTGCGTCCTGATTGTCGCTTGACGTTGAAAGCTTGACCAGTGAGCTCACTGAAGTCAAGACGCAACTGTCCTCCATCATCACATCGTAGTTTTGGGACGCAAAAATCTTGGATGTTGTTACCGCCAGGACAAAGAAAGGCTCCCTCCTCGAGAGTGTGGCTCTGCGATGACGTCGTGGTGGCACAACGATACGCTGTTATCGCCTTATCGAGCGCGCCGGTCGCTTTTAACTCGCTGGCAATATGCTAGACGCCCGCGTAAGCACATGTACTTCACTGCTCGTTAAAAAAACGCCCACGCTCGAAAGTAACTTGATATATGTCACTACGATGTGTCGTATATATTCTATGATGAGTCCTAAAGGTGAAACCGCGGGCAATTGTTATTTTCACGGTGACATGAATGACATGGCTCGATTAGACTCTGATAAAATACTTTTATTTGATTTCTCAGTGTGTGTTACCTTTTTTTTGCCAAATTAAATGGCGTCCGTTACCTCTAAGTTACTTTATTTCGATGGCAGACAGCACACACAAGTTGCTTTGGGTGTTCTGCCCGCGCGATCTCCATTAAAGTGGCGTTTTTTGGTAGGGCAAATGTCTGGAAGTTTCTATTTTTTTTCATTTGGTAGATTCCCAGAAACAGAAGCAAGTAGTGTGTTGTTAAACGGGCTACCACCATCAACTCTTGGCACGTGTACGGTTCTTGTCTGTTTTTATGCTTGTCTCAATAGGTGACGTACATCGCTGAATCGGGACGCAAGCGTGCACTTTAAGTTTGCCAGCGTGTTAGTGCTGAGCCCGCGTAGTGTACCTACGGCTGAACCATGTAGTGTTGATTGATTGATTGATTAATTGATTGATGGATCTCAAGAGCATCGTTTCCATCATTTCAGGACTGCTTGTCCCGCATGCCCCGCCTGCAGCACCTGTGCCTTCTGACCTGGATGAAAGTGCTAGACTCCGTCGCATCCCAAAGTGCCCATCACTTCTTCGCTGGCTCAACCCAGCTGAAGTGCGTACACATGCACCACACGAACCGCAGCGATGGCTCGGAGCGAAGACTCACGTGGTTGAAACGTGGCCAAGACGAAGTGCTGTTACAAGAAGGTCCCTGCTTCGCGTGCTGCTCAACGGCGACGTTCATCGGACTCGTCAAGCCGGTCAATCGCGACTGTGAGGCGAGCATGCAAGCCTAATTAGGGGACACGCCTGCTGGGAAAGGTTCCCATGTTTCGATTTCAAAGCACTGAAGATCAAAATGATGCCACTAGTACAAGACCTGCAAATGTTTTTTTATATATAGATGTTGGCTGGCTTGTATGTGCCGCTGTTCAAAAGAGGACAAAGATTGTGCTTGCGGAAAAGATGATAAAGTCGTATCCAGCCTGACGTCCTTGCGTGCTCTTATCTACAGTGTAACCTTACAGTGTAACGTGACAATATTGCCATGTACATAATTGCCAGCAAGTCTGCAGTTCGGCGCGACCCTCGGAAAACTGCTGCCATCGCTGCCGTCCTGCTACACACTGAGAAGATCGTAATGCCGATTTCTCAATTTATGCGCCCAGGACATATGTTTTGTCCAGGAATTTGGCAGATCGCTGACTCACTACTTCCCCTCACGAAGACTGACATGGAATTCAAGTTGGGAGCGGAGCAGGTAAAAAAACTTCAAGAATTGAAACAACCCTTGCAGACGCCTTCAATACTTTGTCATTTCGACGAATAGGCCGACACCGAAATCCGCACCGACGCAAGAAGCGCTGGAGTCGGCGCCGTATTTGTGCAGAAGAATGACCACTTGAAAGAGTTATCAGTTGTGCTACAGCTGGTCGCCACTCAAAGCTCATGCCATGTGTTCCACACCAAAAAAAGGAGTGATTTTCCATCGTGTTGTGTATGCCAAATCATCGCTCTACCTCTACAGCAGGTCCTTTAAAGTTGAGAGCAAGCACTACGCCTTCTTGCCTGAAAGACCTTTCACGTCGTCTAAGAAGGCGTAGTCCGTGACGTCAACATAATTCATCGTTTACAAGTTTGGATGATAAAAACACTGACACCGATTGCTCGTCTCGCACCTCCCTCGACCAGCCGCCACTGGACGACCAGGGTGAGGACTGCTTCTTGGGAACTATTAGGGCCGGCAATTTCGATCAACGACAGCGAGTGGACACGATAGTCTAAAGCATTGTCGAATACCTCCAGGGCAGAGGCGCTATTTTCCCGAAAACATTCAAGCGAGCACGTTTATCTTGCGAAACGGCGTTCTCATGAAGAACTATACTCGCTAGTTCGAGTCAAGCACGTTATCGTGGCGTCTTCGGCATTATGGCCTGAATGCTCCAGGTTATCCACCACGATCTCAGTGAGGGCAGGACACCATGGTCCTTCCCGCACGTTCGCAATAACATTAGAATAAAGCTACTGGTCATGCTTTCCTGGTGACGTCACTCGTTACGTATATGGCCACGCATGAACTTTCAGCGACGGTCGATAACGGCAGCGAGCTTCCTTCTGCCGATCGAATCACCTCGCTTACCGTTCCAGCAAATCTAGATGGACCTACTGGGGCCGTTCCCAACGTCATTAACTAACGTGCGTTAACTAACCTGTGGACTCTAGTTTTTGCTTGCTTCATAGCTACTTGTTGCATGGAAAGAACCATATATATTGTCCCTCTGTGTGTTTACCTTGTTTGTACGTGACCGCCTATGGTTCCACCTTTGCAAGCTGCCCACCACTTCGTCCTTTCAAACATCCCATTGCACCCCATCACCGATCCACCACTTCATCCACTATAAAGCCGTTATAATGAATTGGGAATGAAAGCGACGTATAGCTAGCACTTACGAATAATAAAATTTCTCGTATAAAATATATACAGTGTTTGTCACGTCTTTGATGATGTAGTGGGCGATATTCGCGGATGGTTCACGGTTTAGCGATGAACCATTCCAGCGCTTCGCCCCACTCATCATCGTTCACTCCGTGGATATGCTGCGATTTTTTTTTATTAATCACCGCACCGATGCTTTTTCAGAAGGGCAATATGCCACGCGTGTTTGTTTTACTGTTTGGGGGGTTTAGCCCAGAAGAACTGTTAACAACACTCGTCGCAAGGTTCGGAAAGCTTCGCGATTGTTGGATATCATTTTTTGTATATAAAAGTACGTGTAAAAAGCGAAATGTCAAGTTTATTTCGGCGTTTGCGTGAGCCGCAACGATAACGCTGGAAAGTTCGATAATGTATGAAAGACGGTGCGTTCCAGTGAGGATCAGTGTGTATCGCCGACCGACATTGTTCGCTGCTATCTTTGTGCACTGTGTATTGCTGTAGTCCTTCCGTTTCCCGGCCACAAGTTCATGCAAATAGTTTCTTCTTCGACGCACCGACCGATTCCTTGATCACGTTTCAACCCCATGACTGCTATATGTTAGACCAAGGGGGAGTAAAGAAAAATTGCTGGAGTGGAGGCTTCCGCAATGCCTTGCCAGCAGAAGTAAAGCCAGCTTTTGCCACTGCCAAGATGGCGGAAGCATTCTCTCATCTGGTTGTGCCCACTTAAGAATTAAGTGGTTTTCATATAATATTAAGTGTGAATACACTTTATAAGCGACCCCAAACCATCCACCGCCGTCGTCGGCGTCCGCAGTCTTCTCTCTATCTTTAAAAGAAAGAGGACTCGGCGGGCCGCAGCGCGACGCTCTACCGAATAAGCCACGGACGCGACGCTGATATCGGTGTCAGTAACGCGCCTTATATCTTTAACGCCGCTGCGCGCGTCCCCCTCCCCCTTCGCTCGCTCCTCCGCAAAGCGCTGGTACTAACCGTGAGCTACAACGATAACACGAATAGGTGCTAATCTGTAGTGTAGTTTGTGTGTGTGTGTGTGTGACGCGCTCGCGATGTGTGCATTTAATGCATCGTACGAAAATCGTGAAGTGTAAATAAATAATACTTCGTATATAATGTACTGTGTACAAATGCTTCATGACAAACAACACTTAAATTCATTAATTACACTTTAATCATCATCATCAGTAATAAAACTCCCAAGCATTTCCCCGAGGGTGAACATGGTTAAGTGCGAATGCACGGGGTGATGCTATAAGGGGGAGTAAAGTTAAAATCCGTTGGCATTCGCCAGTGAGTTAACGTAAACTCCCCCGTGTGATCAAATTGCGATTCCCAGGAACCATTACACCATAAAGGCACCATAGTGTGATTAATAAATATAATAGTGCGAATTAATAAATACCCCTCATAGCATCACCCCGTGCATTCGCACTTAACCATGTTCATCCTCGGGGAAATGCTTGGGAGTTTTTGTAAATGCTACGTTAGTTCTATATTAAAGGATAGTTGTTCCCGAAGAAATAAGACACATGAACGAGTATGGGTGACATGAATTTTTAAGGAACATTGCCTCCAATTAGATGCTTACTAAGGAACATACTAGTAACTTTAAGACGCACTTGGAACACTATGTGACCTGCAAAAGTTTCCACAATAAACTCGTATGCCGTTCAAGGGAAACCCACGAGAGGGTTTTATACTTCATGTGTAGGCGTAAACCGTGCGCAGTTCAGGAGGCTGTCGGGCTCACGGGACGGCTTTATGCTCTCCCATAGTAGACTACCAAGTACTCTAAATCGTTAACTCTTTTTTTCTAAACACACGAGGCAGTGCAATAGGCCTACGGGACGTCTTTATGCTCTCGCACAGTAGAGTACCTAGTACTCGAAATCGTGAACCGCGTTCTTTAAACACATGCTCTCCCATAGTAGAGTATCTAGTACTCTAAATCGTTAACCACTTTTTTTCTAAACACATCACTGAACTTTTTCTAAACACACTGAACGGTGATACTTTATCATGACCTTATCAAGATGGCCGCCGCAGCCGCCATCTTGCCACAGACACTTCTTCACTCCTGGGCAATCATTTCCGCTCCAGCATTTTTTTAAAGTTCTCTCATGGGTTAGACTTCAATGCTTCTGGTTCAAAAAAACAGAGGGCGCTTGAACCACTCATAGGCCCAACTTGTGGCTTTGCAGCTGTGTGCGTGTCTATGCCGAACGCCAGCGAAATTACAACCATTTGCTCGTTCTGAACTTTCCTTCGCCCCCAATGTCTTCAACTCGTTTGTCAACCTGCCCCGCCGCGGTGGTCTAGTGGCTAAGGTACTCGGCTGCTGACCCGCAGGGTGCGGGTTCGAATCCCGGCTGCGGCGGCTGCATTTCCGATGGAGGCGGAAATGTTGTAGGCCCGTGTGCTCAGATTTGGGTGCACGTTAAAGAACCCCAGGTGGTCTAAATTTCCGGAGCCCTCCACTACGGTGTCTCTCATAATCATATAGTGGTTTTGGGACGTTAAACCCCACATATCAATCAATCAATCAATCAATCAATCGTCTGTCAACCTCTCAGAATTTCGTGCGTGCGTGTCTGAGGTAAAAACACAAGGAGCGTTTGCAGCGGCTGGATGGTGGGATGGAAGGCATGGATGTATGGATGGAAGGAAAAAAACTTCATTAAAAGTTGTTCAGACCGAATAATGGCCCGGGCTCAGGTCTACCATGTCGGGACGTCAAGACCTTGCTTCTACACCGCTTCGCGGACCTTCTGGACTGCGTAGAGTTGATCGCGGCGAGCTTGGTAGTGCAAAAAAAAGTTTCTTGTTCGGTCAATTAAATAATCTTTCGCTTTAATTATCAACATTACGCCTGCGATGGAGGTTTCTTCTTTTCCAAAGCAGTTTCGAGACCCGGTGTGGCTCTATGGTAAAATACTTGATTGGTACGCGTAATGTCTCGGTTTGATTCCTGCCGGAACCTTCTTTATATTCACCGGGTAAACACTGCCGATGGCAGTCTTTTTTAACTCTTTCTCATTCAAGGTGTCAATATCTGTTATAGCCGTTCGTGGGTAGGCATGAAGTGTCAATAACCTGTGGCATATACCCACATATAGCGGCCCAGGCTTGCGGGTATGCACCGTACGTGTTTCGAGGAAAGAAGTTTGACGAAGTACGCACTGGTGGGTTACGTTATTCACGTCATGTCCTGCCATGCATATCAGTCGAACCCTCTTACCCTTTCGTACTAATTATAGATGGTATGGAATGGCATGGCATGGAATAGAATGGGATTGGGTTGGACGGATGGATGGTTAGATAAACATTGGATGGACTGACAGGCGGATGCGTGCATGTATTCCATGCATGCATGCACGCACGCTAAGGAATGCTTCGCATTTATAATTACGCTCCCTTAAA